TTTGTACACAACTTGGGGATAAAAAAAGGACACAACTTTGGGACGGTAGCTGTGTCCCTGAAAGCCCCAGAAAAACCACTACCGGCCAAAGCCAATCCGCCATTTTAAGGGACACCATGGCAACGCATTCCCTTCTGGGTCAAACCGATTGGCCGAGCAAAGGTCCGACCCCCCGCCTTAGTGGGAGGGATGGATTGTAGTGAGAGTGACCAAAGCGAACCTTGACCCTAACCCGAAGCCTAACCCTAACCCTAACCCTGAGGGTTGAGCCTGGCTTTTTATCGTCACCCCGAAAAACAAACGTTCGTACACAACTTGGGGGGATAAAAAAAGGACACAACATTAGTGTCGGATGGTAGATGTGTTCCCGAAAGACCCAGAAAACCGCTACTAACCAAAACCAAGCCGCCATTTTTAAAGAGACATGTTAGAATTTGTCTATAATTATTCACTTTAGCATAGTATGCTATCATATAATCTTGGGTTCCCGGTTGGATAGTGGGATGGAGGACACCCACCTTGGATGAGCACCTGCCCCCCCTGGAGGAAGAACTGGTGTGGGGAGTCTGCGGCCTGCAGGAGGGCGGCTCCGGGCGGGGGGGCCCCGCCCACCGTCAGGGTCTGGGCCCCCGGGAGGCCATCGGGGAGGCCCAGCTGGAGGGCCGTCGCCTGGGAGATGGAAACTGTATAGAGAAAGGGGGGGGGGGGGCAGATAAGAGCTTTGACCGGGCTGCTTCTTTCAGGATCCACCGTGTAAGAGCAGAAATCTTTATAAATTATCAAATTATTGCATTTTTTTCCCCAATCTATAGGTCACAGACTCTGTCATTTTGCGGGGTTTCAGTAGTCTGATAGTCCGATGTTTCGGACTAAGCTAATGCTAAAAAAAACTGGATCAGGAGTCTGGATACACATATTTTTTGCAACTATCCGTGGTCGATCCGGTCCAAATATCGGAGCATTAGCATTAGCATTAGCATCTCCTAACCCACAGGTCTGTGTCCTAACCATTAAGTTGTTATCAGAGTAAATCCCTGTTCAACATGAGTCTGACAACTAAGTAAGTAGATAAATAACTTTAAACTTTAACACATGCTCTGATAGGCCGGGATCGGGATCGGATCGGAAGTGAAAAAAACATTCCTAATCTGAACACCCCAGCATTAAAGTGGGAGGGGGCCTGATCCAAAACACGGCAGCCATCTTTAAAACCGCCATATTGGATCAAGGGGAGGTTTTTCCAATGGGAAAGGGGTCATGCAGCACATCAGAGAAGAGCAGAATCGACTTGATTTGCAAAATGATGAGGTTTTTAAACACGGAAAGCTGCGACTCCATCCAATATGGCGGCCCCCTCCCCCATTACTGCCCTTAACTCATTGACTGCCAGCCATTTTCAGAACAGAGAGTCGCTCACTGCCACAGTTTTTTGAGAATTTTGACTGATTTTTCAAGAGCCACAGAATAGTTTGTGCTATGACTATGCAAACACCGAACACACCAAAAGAAAGAGTAGACTCTCTTCTTTCATCAGGAAAAAAAGATTTGTTTCTACCTTCTTCCGTTCTTCTTCGACGTGCGTCTCACCGGCGCCATTTCTCTCATAGCGAACCATTGCGTTTGTTTTTATTTGCTTACAATCTATGCTAATCTCCCATCAAAAGTGGCACTGCCACCTAGAGGCTCAATTTGTTACTACATACTCTGTCTAGAAACCGATATTTACGGAAAAACTTTCGCCGATCGTCCCCCAAGCCACTCGCATTGAAAAACATAAAAGACGTCTATAGACGTCTTTGGCAGCGAATGAGTTAACTGTCTACATATGAACAAAACTTTGACCACTGACCGTATTGTCCTGAGCTGGTTTGGTAGTTGGGGCTTCCTGATGCTGGAGACTCTTCCTCCGTCAGCTCCTCCTCGATTCTGGGCACCGCCTGTGCGTCTGACGATAACTCGTTGAGGATTTTCCTGCCGGGGATCAAAATCCGAGAAGGTGTGAGTGGTCAGACCCCCCCCCCCCCCCCCCCCACTTGGTCTGCCCCGCCCTCACCGATAGGACGGGCGCCTGGACAGGATCTCCCTCCCCTTCCTCGTGTCTTCGTCCTCCAGCTCGCCGCCATTGGTGGATATCTGTAGGGGGAAAAGGAGCAGGTGACCTCTGGCTGCAGCCTGTAGGAGCCTCGGTCGGATATCCAACTCCTCCTACATCCAAGTCGGCCATTTTGATTAGGTCATGTGACTAGCTGCTTTCTGAGGTGGAAATGAAACTTTACTGTCTATAGGACATCGGAAGAAAAACGATGTCCTAACCCTAAACCTAACCCTGAACCTAAGCCTGACCCTGACCCTAACCCTAACCCTGACCCTAACCCTAACCCTAACCCTAACCCTGACCCTAAACCTAACCCTAAACCTAACCCTAACCCTGACCCTGACCCTAACCCTAACACTAACCCCAACCCTAACCCTAACCCTGACCCTGACCCTAACACTAACCCCAACCCTAACCCCATCCGACTTGGATGTGGGCGGAGTTGGACACCCATCCTATTTTTTTTTTGTATTATCTGCAACTAAAACCTGAATTATCCGGTTTTGACAGCTCCTCTGTTTCCAGATTAAATCTGAACTAAAGCGGCATAATCAACAGATTCCATGTCCGCTCTTATTGGGAAAAATCTGGATTTCTGACTAAATGTTCCCTCAGTTTTCTGACTCTGGTCCCTGTTTCTGGACCCGGCGGCCCCCACCTGGACTCCCTGGACCTGTAGGGCCTGGATGACTGAGGTCTGGGGGGCCTGGATGACCCCCTGGATGGGGGGGGCCTGGTCGTCCGTTGCCATGGACTCGGATTCTGCTTCGGCCTGTCGGCGCAAAATCCACAAAAATAACCGAATGAGTTTTTTTTTT